TGCTTGAGACCTATAGAAAAAAAAAAAATATATACCTGCGTGGTGGCACAAAGTATTTCACTTTACCGCGTGCATGCTCATTTCCGCACTGTTTTTGTTTAGGTGTTTGTCAGTCTCGTCATCTGCCCCGTAAATTGCAGCCATTGGATCTTCCAAGTTCTTTGCAGGAGAGGAATCGCTCAAGATTTGTTTTAGGATGTAAGATGGAATTTCACCCACTGAAAGTCGAATCCAATAGACTGTCAAGACAAGCACCTAATTTATTAACAGTTTAAAGTTTTTTTGTTTGTTTTTGTTTTAGAGTTGACGCGTCGGTTATTTAATTTTCGTAAGCTGAACCTCAACGATAAGATAATATGTCATCCAACCAAAGTGGAAACGGTTGCAGATTAATTTGTAAACTGCATCTATAGGGAGAGGGGGGGGGGGGGGGGGGGGGGTAAATAGTTTTTCGGAACGCAAACTGCACTCTTACAATCCCCATCTTGCTCCGCGTGTAAATCTCGTCTCCATAGATCTCGCCACTGCATCGTATTTTTTTGACGCAGATATGCAAATCGGTCGGTAAATCAACTGTCAGTTGAGGTGTGGTCGGTGGAAGGGCTAGTGGCTGGGTTGGTTGAATTATTAGATTAATTAATCATGCAGCAGGTAAGTAGAAAATCACAGAACGCGAAACAAAAACGCGATAACAAAACCAGTTCCATTTAATATCAAATAAGACAGAGCTGCCAAATACTAAATACAATCTGTATTGTAGTTAACGATTCAGGAAACATTTAAATACATCTGTAGCAAACTTTGTTTTTCGCCTTACAATAAATGGTACATTTTCTATGGAAAGCGTATTTTTTTAAAACAACAACAACAACAACAACAACAGATATTTACTTTTTAACAAAGTAAGGTTTTTATTTGAAAATGGTGACGAGTGAGTCTGTTCAAAAGGTGCTTCGTTTCTACGTCACCTAATTTTTGCTAGAACAAAACTATAGACCATTGCAACCAAGGCCATTCTGTATTCATTTATTTGTCCGAATTTAATTGAATGGCTGTCATAAAATCTACAAGCGGGGAAGAAAGTTCACATTCAGGGCCCTAACCTAAGCGGTAAATATTTGGCGCTCATCAATATTATACTCTGTCTGAGCAAAATAAAAATAAAAATATGAACAAAAAAAAAACACTTGATCACAGTGAAAGCAAGATCGTTTAGACTGTGAATTCAAGGGAAAAAAAAAAGAGCTTCATAACTCAAGAATAATTAGAGCTACGGGATGGAGATTGGCATTTTCCTTAAATTTTCAGACGCTTTCGACTGAGCCTTATCAACGACCGATCGGCTTTCTCTGACGAACTTATCATAATCACCAGCGCTGGTCCGGTGAAGGCCAGTCTGGACCACCTGTATTCGGGCTATCTGATAGGTAAGTGTACCCGAGTCCAACGTCCCCCAGCTTCATTTAAAGGGGCGATGCAACGATTTTTGTATTTTGCACAAATACTGCTTAGAACGGATCGCTGACATTAATGACGTGTGAAATACCCACTCGTTTTTCACCGCACGCAATCGAAGTCGCAGAAAAAAAAAAATAAAGAAAAACGAGCCGAGTTCATCCCTTCAACTCGCAGCCAGAACAAGCGGCCACGTGATCTGGAGCCGATTATATGCCGCCAATGTTGATCATAGCCACGCGCTGGGGTTGGCAAAGCATAGGACACGCGCTGAGTTCCAAACATTGTTATGGCTCGGCTAATGTCGTCGTTGCAGCGATTAGACACAGGACACTACCCGAATGCTTCTCGAGCTGTTGATTATCACGAGCACAAATCGAGTGTCCACGCCATGCTCGGGTCCAATCTATGAACCGCATTCAAATATCGTCACTGGGCGGTACTGTTACGGTGTTACCGCCCAGCTACGTCTTTAGGTTTTGCAAAGGAGAGATTGAATGAAAACACTCGGTTTTGTCCTCGAAATTACAGCGCAACAAAGGAGTTTCTTGGTCAGTGGTGTTGCGTGCGAGTATCCTTGAGTCCCACTAGTGCCAGTAAGCTCGTGTAAAGTAAAAAAAAAAAGATTACAATTCAATATTGTTGCACCGCCCCTTTAATGTTTGATGTATGGCAGTGTGCCTCCAGAAGGAAACAAAAACGTGGATACCAATAGACAATCAGATATAACGTAGCAATAAGAAACGTAAATCCTCGTATTCCTGATAAATATGTCAAGGAGTGCGACACCAACCAAACCTATAAGAGCAAATTAACTTAACAGGTATAAAATAATGCGGGTGCAGTTGATCTGGTTAACAACATTTTCCTTAGAGGTCGAGGCCACCCCTTTTCACACAATGAAAAGTGAACCCATATTGGTCATCGCCTTTCTTGCGGCGCAAATGTTTCGGTACTAAAATAATTTTCGAATTTGTCTCCTATTCATTTGAGATGGTTTGACAATGTCAGTCAGAATTTTATGCCTCGCGCTAACCACCCCAATGAAAGCAAGTTTCATCCGCCTTCAGACTAAAGCTTTTTTTTTTTTTTTTTTTGCATATCGCGTTCTACTCTTGAAGGAGAAGCTTAAATGTTCTCAAAGTTTTCTTGTTCTTTTTTTGCCACCGTGAGACGGCGAGTACGCCACCTTTGTTCTAAGGACTTCTACGGATCAGTATATGCTTATATCGGCTCTCCACAAACACAGGGTTAACGTCGTCCTGTGCTGCTTGCCGCAGGGGTTCCAAAGAGTCGCGTGGTGGGTTCAATCCTGGACGGCGTGTTCCACGGCAGGATCGAGACTTCCAGCGAAGAGTTCTACGCCGAGCCTGCCAGCAGGTACCTCAAAGGCGACCACGGATTCCACTCGATCATTTACGCCGGCAGCGACGTCGTCTTGCAGCCCGGTTGTGGTCTTCACGGTGCCACCGAAGCGTCCATGAACGACCTTCGACGTCAGTACAGACGTCGGAACGGGACAATGGTAAACTACCGCACTTACTGATCATAATGAATGTCTGGTCGCGGGGATCCGACCATTATCTCAAAATTAGAGCAGCCTTTTCGATGTTGAGTAGAATCCGACCATTACCTCAAACTTAGAAACAACAGTAGTTAACTTCTCGTCTTTTTATAATGGTATCAGCATATTGCACTCAAAAATCCTGGGAACTACTAAAAGGACGGTAGCTTTTCTTCCTTTCTTCTTCTTCAGAATGATGCTACAGAGCCAGATTTAACAGGGAGGAAGGGGGAGGGGTCGATGCTTCCCCCCCCCCCCCCCTTTCCTCTAGCTTTTCAAGGACGGCTTTTATTTTTATAAAAAAGACATACACCAGCTTTTTTAGGAACAAGTGTCTCGTTTTGAGCGAAACGGCAGTTATTAGGTCAACAAGATATAACTGGGCAATGCTCCACCCGTGACGTCAAATCTTCCTGCAGACACCCCCCGCCCCATCCGGTGCCTGACCCATAAATACGTCCCTAAAGTGCTCTCGTCTTTCAAAAGCACGCACCTTATGTTCTACCCAGTTGCTACGGTCCAAGCGCTCCATTTTGGAGCCGGTCCCAAGCCAGAACTCCCCTGTCCTGGGACGAATGCCTGGAGTAGGCGTGGACTTCCATGCCCGCAGCCCCTGGATGACGGGAAGTCCTGGGAACGAGGAGAGACAGCAAAAGGTGAAGCGGGTTTGCAACCTGGAGATCAACATCGACCACACGCTCTACAACGCCGTCCTGCTGGATTCCCACCTGGACCCCGGCAAGACGCAGGAGAGTCTGATAGCCATGCTGACCAGTCACGTGACAGCCGCCTCGGACATGTTCAGGAACACCGACTTCCTTGGAATCGCCGACATCAGTTTCGAAATACAGAGGGTCTTAGTAAGCATGCATTCGATTGACTTCGTGGTTTCTGAAAAGCGGCTCACACATTATGTTAAAACATCGACCTGTTTTTTTTTCTTGATTTTTGGGAAATACAGTACAGGAGCGGGGTGTGGTCTCCCACCTTTAGCGCAGATTGAAGCCGACTCCAAGCTGTACACACGCACACCTCTTCCTCTCTTTAAAACAACAACAAAAAAGTAAATAAATGGCACAGAAAATTGTAACCAATGTCACGCTGGCCCTGCCATGCTCCTATTCGAGAAGAAAGCACGTGCGATTGTAGGCGTGTCAAAGGTACCTTCGCGCGCCTGCTGCGTGTGCTCTCATACGCGCTCTTATGGCTCCTACAATTGGCGTCGTGGCCAAATTATGAATCGTTTTATTACATAATCCTGATTACATTTTCATCAGTTGCGAACTGCAAGTTCGATGGCGTGTTCAGAGCACGGCAGCTTCTAATGGGATGTCTAACGACAACAACACTTTAAGGGACCGTTTATTGGTAAGAATCTTTCTCACTTTATACAAGCTTACTAACCACGAATATTATTTTTTGCGGTGTAATTCCTAGGAAAAAAGGTGACTTTTTTTTTTTTCAGTCTCTGCTGTTCAAAAACATGCGCTTGTAGCGCTTGTCTTGTCCTTCTTGTCCTTGTCTTTTTTTGAGCTATTTTATGTTTTATTATGATGACGTAGTCGGGAACGCTGTGTGGGCGTATACAGTTAATGTCGCCCTTTGGTGGCGACGTTAAAATGTGGCTCATATATAGATTGGACACAAGCGCTGCGCAACACTCGACTGGTGCTCGTGACAGTCAATGCCTCGGCGAGCATTCAGGTAGTGACCATCTTTAACCACTACAATGAAGGGACAAACAATGAAGGGTCTGGAACGTGCCAGCTGTGCTTTGCGACCTCCAGCGCCGGGTTATACGATGAACATTGGCGGTATATAACCGGCACCAGATCACACGGCCACTCGTTCAAACTGCTAGTTGAAGGGACAAAGCTAATAGTTTTTCTCCATTTCTTTTTATTATTATTGCGCAGAGAGAAAAACAAACGCACGTTTCATGAATTATGAACGCAAAGGAAGAATCGAGGGTTATATCTACAGTCCGTTGTGCGAGCCGGTTTTAGCTTTTAAGGTTTTATGCACGTGTTTCTTTTCATAAAAAAGAAAAGAGTTGAAAGCTACGCCTTTTTCTGATGTCACCTTTTGCTTTGTCCGCGGTTTTTCGACGTTTTACCCTCATGGGTCACGCGTGTGGCTACTCTGCCAAAACGCTTTCGCGCTCGTTCGACGTGCAGATCAACAATTCAGAAAGCTGCGACGCAGACAAGCGGGCCACCAATCCGTTCTGTGCGTCTGACCTGGACTCGGCGCACATGCTTCACGAGCTTTCCAAGATCAACCACGACGACTTTTGCCTCTCGTACCTGTGGACCTACAGGGATTTTGTCGGCGGAACGCTGGGACTCGCGTACAAGGCCGAGCCCAACGGTGAAATTTACAAACACGCGCACCTATAATCACTGACAGGACGAGGACGCCAGGGCGTCTGTATCGAGTGTACGGCCTCCAGCACACGTCTCGTTGCTTTCCACCGTGCTTTGGCTGGACGCGCATGCTCGAGGCACACGAGACGCCGAAGCACCATCAAAGGCATAAAGGAAGATCGCGCTGGATGCGACGACTCAAGGACCACCCTGCGGTTCTCATTCTGTCGGAGACTATATATTGCCTAGCCTGCATGCGTGCCTAAAGTGTCCCACGATTCTTTCCTCTATAGGTATTCATGTTACAAGGCGCAAAAACACGGACATAAGTTCTTCTACAGTATATTTCCTCTATAGGTTCATTGAATGAATACGCGAGCCCGAGACCAGGGGGGCTATGCAAGACGGTGGGACAAAGGAACCGGGACATCACTGCCTGCTGGGATTGGTCAGCGTCACGCCGCTGGCCAATCACAGCAGGCGGCGATGTTCCTTCGTCCCCGATTGCATCGGGCCCCCAAGCCGCAACCAATATTGTCTATAGTCCTGTTTTGTGTGTTGCACCTAGTAGTGTCTGGTGGCAGGCTGGGGTAGTGAACTATTGTTGCCTAATTATCGTGGAAATGTATAAATATTTCACTTAGCTAGTGTAGTCTGGATTGATACATATTCGAGCATTTAAAGGTAAAAAACAGATAAAAATAACCGCGCACCACACTGCAAAGAGGAATAAAAAAATTTCACCTAAAAAAAAAAAGAAAAAAAAAGAAGACAAAGTTACGTTGTGACGCTGAGCGTGTCGATTTACCTGCTGATGTCCTCAGTGCTACATTGCTCGCTTAATTTTAAAGTAGGACCCTGTCGTTCGTTAATTGCAGTGTTTGGCTCCTCGGGTATTCTGGGGGAAATTAAGGTGCACCAGACTTTGTTTACAAATGAGTTGCGAGCAATTACGCTTAATCGGTGACCTAAAATTATTTTATATACACGACTGTATAGAAAAAGAAATTGTCCTTATCTTGATATAAAGAAAAATATGAGTACTTAAGGAATTTAGTTCGGTGGAAACCTAAATGTGGTGTTTTCGGCCGCACATGGTTTGGTAGCTGTGGGCAGGTAAGGTTAGACCAATTTGTGTAAATTTTTTTAGATGTGTGGGCAAAGAGTGTTTGCTTTACATATCCTAGCCTTTTTTTTATTTTCATTGTATTTTGAGAGCTACGTATCTCGTAAAATATGCTTTTTACGAGTAAACGCGCGATCAATTTCCACAACTGTTCGGTTTTTACGCCTAAAATTTATTTTAACAGCTCTCGATGGCTATGATGGCTTCAAAATGTGTGCTAAGTTTTACGAAAATGAATGCTCAACGTATGTTTTAAGGCTCGCATAAAAATGAACGAAAGCAGCAAAAATAGGAAAACGTTGTTCCGCCGTAGTCTCAGCTTAGGGGTGAACGAAGTCTGGCGAAGCTAACTACAAAACGAACCCTATGCGAGGAGTGCGTGTGGGCAGATGATAGTCTCGGAAGCAAGCTGAGCCCATCTGCCAATCTCGTCAGGGTTCCCGGGCACCGCGGGCGGCATCTGCGATAAGTTCCAGAGCGGGTCGAGCCTGCACTCGTCCTCGTCGTTCCTGGGCAGGCTGAGCCTGAACACCGGCATCGTGACCTTCCTGAACCAGAACTCCCGCGTGCCCGAACGGATCACGCACATCACCTTCACCCACGAGCTGGGACACAACTTCGGCTCTCCGGTACTCTTGCACCACACTGTAGTCCACACACACAAAAAAAAAAAAAGATTTTGCAGTACACGGAGACGGTGAATTGTAGCAAACAATGTCGGGGTGCCACCGAATGAGGAAGCTCCGAATACGATCAGACCAAAAGATGCTCTAAGAAGTGTGATGTGCGATAGAAGAGTGAGCATGGCGTTTCACTTGCTCATTGTCTCTGCTCACATCGCATTTTTCACGTCTAATCGTATCATTACCTTCGTCTTTCGCTGGGACTGTTCGCCTTGGACGACTGTCTCCGTGTTATGGACAAAAGCGAACTCACAGACTTTCGTTAGACTTTACAAATCGCAGAATGTCGATGCTTCAGTGAAAAGCAGTCTAGCGCGGTCATACAGAACTAACTTCTTGCGTAGGGCGCCGTGTAACCGAGCTTTCGGTTGCACGTCAAAAGATCCCCAGGTGGTCAAAATTAATCCTCAGTCCTCCGATAGGGCGTGCCAGATGCCCGTCGTTGGTTTGGTACGTAAAAATACCAAATTTGACTTGAGTAACCCCCTCTCCCTCTCTCCACGGCTCGCATCCCGTCGTTCGAGGCGTCAGACGACATCTATGGTAACTGCGTGTATTCTGTAGAATACGTATGTTACGAAGCACAGCATCTTTCACCGTACTCCATGGAACACACAGTTTTAAAAAGGAAAATCTAGATGGCGATTCAAACGGCTGGAGGTGGACTGCAGTGAAAGAGGGGGGGGGGGGGGGGGGGAGTACCCCCCCGTGGTAGTTCCACAACTGAGGTAATCTGAGCCTTGAGCCTCTTATTATCTCTCGGTACAAAATGAGATAGCGCCATGAGCTGACTAGAACACCGAAGAACGAAAAGGGACGCACGAAACGAGAGCATGAAGGCTAGCCCACATGGCGCGTTTTTCGGTGCGTCTAGACGCGCGTATCGGCTTGGCGTGCGCGCTAAGCAGGACGCTTGCGCCCAGTCAAACCAGACGCAGCGCTACCGTGCAGCGCTTCGCGTCTGCGTTTCCGAAGCGTCTGCCCAACGTAGCCAGACGCGCTTAAGAAACAAAAGCAAACATTAAATAGAAATCGCGCGGTAAATGATGGCTATATGCCGTAATATTTAATTTTAGTAATAGTAAGCACTCATTTTTATTACAGCAATCGCAATGAAGCTCAATTTCACTAATTTTTATTCTTTTTAGTGCGTACGCCTCATCCACGTTTCGATACGCCATTGGCATCCCCATCGCCCGCGCCAAAACATTTACAGTTGGCCGCTGGCCGCTACAGTGGTTACGTTGTAGCGGTTGTTGCCGGTAGTATTAGTTTTGTACCTTTGTCTCTCGGTGTCCTTGTATTCTTTACATTTGGCCTGCCAGAGTGCAGGACGCTTTTGTACTTCGCTAGGTCCTCTCTGTTCCGCTGAAGCAGCGTCAGCCTCTCCCGCGGAGCAGAGAGGATTCCCTGGACTTGTGTAAAAGGTATGATAAACTGATATCCGCGGGGGGAAGGACGTAACTACCCATGTTCGCCCTGCTGCTAGCGTTGGCGGGGCCTAAAAGCCGTTTTTATTGAAGGCCGCGAGCGTGCAAATTTTGTAAACTCCGCGCGCGCGGGTATGTGTGTGTGCGTGCGCTTTGATGGCACAGGGCTGCTGCCCGTATTTGTGTGTATCTTTCTGTTTTGAGTGTTTTTATTTATTTTCCTTTCCCGTATCCCTTTCCCTACTTGGCGGCGGGCTAGCAGGCCCACCTGCGTAAGGGTCTCGACCTTTTTGCCTAGCCTCGCACGCTGCCGAGTGGGTATCGCAATATGTGCAAATAAAAAGTATTATTATTATAATTATTATCGCCTTCGTCGCGAGGTCTGTGGCGAAAACTACAATCCTACAGTGGAGATAATTCAAACGCTCCTTGCAACTAGTGAACACGGCGGTTCATTGGTTGTTGCCTTCTGGACGCAGCGCGAGACGCGACGCGTGGACGCAAAATATCTGGCTCCTCCAGATACGCCGGGATGCGCCAAAAAACGCTGCGTTTCGTCCCGGTGCCGAAAGTGACGTCAAAGCGCAGGCGCAGACGCGACGCAGACGCGGAGAAGGCTAGCCCACATGGTGCGCTTTTCTCCGCGTCTGCGTCGCGTCTGCGCCTGCGCTTTGACGTCACTTCCGGCGCCGGGACGAAACGCAGCGTTTTTTGGCGCATTCCGGCGCATCTGGAGGAGCCAGATATTTTGCGTCCACGCGTCGCGTCTCGCGCTGCGTCCAGAAGGCAACAACCAATGAACCGCCGTGTTCACTAGTTGCAAGGAGCGTTTGAATTTTCTCCACGGTTTTCGCCACTGTAGGACTGTAGTTTTTGCCACGGACCTCGCGACAAAGGCGATAATAATAATAATAATAATACTTTTTATTTGCACATATTGCGATACCGACTCGGCAGCGTGCGAGGCTAGGCAAAAAGGTTGAGACCCTTACGCAGGTGGGCCTGCTAGCCCGCCGCCAAGTAGGGAAGGGGATACGGAAAGGAAAATAAATAAAAACACTCGAAACAGAAAGATACACACACAAAAACGGGTAGCAGCCCTGTGCCATTCCAAGGCAGAGCGCACGCGCGCACGCACACACACACACCCGCGCGCGCGGAGTTTACAAAATTTGCACGCTCGCGGCCTTAAAAACGGCTTTTAGGCCCCGCCAACGCTAGCAGCAGGGCGAACATGGGTAGTTACGTCCTTCCCCCCGCGGATATCATAGCTTTTACACAAGTCCAGGGAATCCTCTCTGCTCCGCGGGAGAGGCTACGCTCCTTCAGCGGAACAGAGAGGACCTAGCAAAGTACCAAAGCGTCCTGCACTCTGGCAGGCGAAATGTAAAGATTAGAAGGACACCAAGAGACAAAGGTACAACATTAATACTACCGGCAACACCGGCAACAACGCAACCTCTGCACCGGCCAGCGGCCAGCGCGGCCAGCTGTGAATGTTTTGGCGCGGGCGATGGTGATGCCAAAGGCGTATCGAAACGTGGACGAGGCGTCCGCACTAAAAAGGATGAAAATTAGTGAAATTGAGCTTCATTGCAATTGCTGTAACAAAAATGCGTGCTTACTATTACTAAAATTAAATATTACGGCATGTAGCCATCATTTAACGCGCGATTTCTATTTAAAATTTGCTTATGTTTCTTAAGCGCGTCTGGCTACGTTGGACAGACGCTTCGGAAACGCAGACGCGAAGCGCTGCCCGGTAGAGCTGCGTGTGGTTTGACTGGCGTACACGTCTGGCTTAGCGCGCGCGCCAAGCCGAGACGCGCGTCTAGACGCACTGAAAAACGCGCCATGTGGGCTAGCGTTTTTGAAGTTGTCGGTAGCTACAAAATAATGCGCTCGCTCGTTGGGCCAAACTACAAACATTGACAGGCCAAAACAAAATGGGGTGAATGTAGAGTCTACTTAGTTAAACGAAAGAGCATGGCCAGATACCAGTTGAAAAAAAAAAGACTTATTCTTCGCCCATAATATGCGAATAAACGAAAGCGATAGCTGGGTGGCTTTATTTTAAACCATTCAGCTATCGCTTGTCGGGGTGGGTCTTTCGATTATTTTTAATTATATATGTGATTGGCTCTTTTCTGCAAAGAACAAAACCACTTTTAAAAACTTTCAAAAAAATATTTCGCTTCAAAAAAAAAAGAAAAAAAAAAATGTGATGGAGCAGGGTGGAAATCTGTTGTTTTACTCCCGGATTTTTCTACCCAGTTCTGTACGCTGTATGAATACAAAAACCATACAAAACTCACAGTTATTTTTTGTGCGCTTGCATTTTATTTTGACATTTTTGTTTAGTTAAAAAATATATTCCTGTTTATTGAGGTAAAACATGCCAAACAACGTCTTTTTGACAATCCGGTGGCATCTTCAGAGCCTTGTAACTCATGAGTTATTATATTTGTCGCTTACCAAATACTATGAGGGTGCAGTCCTACACATAGGCTATAGACGGGAATAAGTTTAGTTTATTTTATGTAACGGAATTGTTAATATAAAATTTGAAATATCGCCGAAAATGAGATTAACCGATATTTTGAACCCACCTTATCGAGAAAAAAAAAAATCATTTTTTTATTTCGTTCAATCTTTTTATTATTGCTGCCGATTATATGAACTTTCAATTGGCTTAATGCGATTTCCCCCTTCTTTTTTTTTTTTTGTAGTATATTCTCTAGAAGTGATCGAAATCGCTCCCACTTTTCGGAACGGCCAAACGCAGTTTTCACAGGTCGGCTTCACTGCAAAAACTATACTGCTTATTTTTGTGTTAAAATGCAGCGGGTAAATTTATTTTGATTGAGAACACTCGTGCTTGGCTACATAATGTATTTTCTTAATTTTCTAATGATGGCAACTGACATTCCTTAGTCCGATCGTTAGCGGTCAGTAGCGGATGTTCCATTATCCGGTGCGTAAATCCAGGGCATAAAGGTCGGAGGGAACGGAACGATCTCTTCATGTAGCCAGACCGGGGTCCAAGCACCTACACTCTAGGTTCGGTAACCTATAGCGTGGGTGCACACTTTCAAATCCTAGTTACCTCTATTTTTTAAGCTACATTGTAACCGATATTTCTGTAACATTTAATGTAGGTTTACATGCTTCAAATATATTTTGGAGGCTACGTTATACGCATCTACTTTCCGCCAGAGTCAAACGCAAAAGTGCTTTCGACCGACGCAGCAGATTTGTCGTTCCATACAAAAATAAAGTGCCCGAGATTCCGACGCTGTAGCCTCGGAGAGCGCGTTCCTGAGATGAGCTTTCCCAGTCTAGGGGCGTCGCAGACACTTTATTTTTCTATGAACCGAAAGATGTTTTTTGCATCGTCGAACACGATACAAAACGCCACGATGTTGTACGACACTGCCAAAATAATTACAACTCAGCGGATGAAGACAAGATTATAGTTTCTTAATTAAACCGAAAATCAGCACAAAACACGCGGCGGCCACGACGACGGATATGTCCTGAATTCGAACAACCGGCAAAAAATGTTTTAAAAAATTCAATATTACATCTCCGAACGATAATGGATAACTTGTCCGTAAAGTGATGTGGCCTATAACACACCACATAGCAGATCTTCGGTTTCTTCCTCACCGAAATCCAGGGACACTCTACTTAGAGCAAGACAGCTCTTGAGGTAGAATCAACAGCTGAGCATCAACCAGAAGGTGGAAGTTCGTGACATAATAGACTGCATCAAACATCACGAGGTCCTCTTCACGGGTACATGAGGCATTCTGAGTGTGAGTTTCTCTCGACCTTCCATCTTGAACCGCAATTTTCCCGGTTGCTGGATACGAAAGTGAGGGCCGGCAAAGAGAACCTCGTCTGGAACTTCTTCCTGAAAAGTGCACAAACAAAAAAACCTTCGCTGAGCGTGTGGGGCCTCTAAATATTGAGAGTATGTCGACCATTCATAAAGTGGCATCCCTCTACACACGTTTATATGTGTGGAATGCTGCCGCTCGTGTCTCCATGTAAAATACAAATATTTCTGGGGTGAGATGGGCGGAGGGGGGTGCTGCATAAATTCATAAAGGTTTTGTTTGTTTGTAAAATCAGTTATTTTTAGATATGTGCAAACTACCGAGCTGTACTGTTGAACCAAACAATTGACCTTTTCCAGTCACCCAAGGTGCCCTCCCCCAAGGTGCCCTAATTTGCGTGCGCCGTTAGTTCATGTCGACAACGACCCCATTTGAGCAGCGGGGAGCAAGTTGCCAACGAAGCAGGTTTCCCGATGTTGCCCACATATTCAGATTTCTTTAGACGTCCTTGTTTCAGCTTCAGTGTTTGAGTGAGAGCGAAAAAGAAATGAAATAACCATTTGTCTCTCTAATTGTACCACCAGACGGTATAACAAGTTTAAACCCTCGTTTAAACGTCCTTGTTTGTTAGAGCCACCCTGGCAAACTTTAGGAGCACACAATATATGACCGAGGACCGCACAAAAGAATGGAGTAGCTCAAGCGTTGTCAGCGCCATGACTGCGCGAACATGCCGAAGCCAACGGTCCCAACGGTCAACCAGTCGAAGCTCCGACCCCGTCGAGGATGGTCGAGGAAGGCGAGGTCACGTGTGTGGTCACGTGAGCATGGTTTCGGAATTCATTGAACTCACTCTCGTTAATAACTTCTTACGCACCACCTCCCCCATTTTTCTTCGTTTTCTTTCCTTTGCTAGGAAGAAAATATAAATACTCGCGTAAAGCGACAGTCAGGGCTATAAAGAAAAAAATTGGCTTGCTTTGTATATTTATGCAGCCTTGATGGAGATACGCCTCAACGGTTGATCGGTCTCTTAGCAGTAGATGAGAAATTTAGCCAGTGCAGTACAACCGCTAACCTGGTTTTTTTAACGTGCATCACGCAGTAGTGATTACATGAACGCGCGCCGGTACGAAATTCATCCAGATCAAAACGGGCGAGGGCAGTGGGGATCGGACCCACGAGGTTCCCAGCGCAAGCTTTCGCATTCAGGGCTATGTAGGTTACAGCGCTTTTCATAGGCTACTGCGTAGAGTTTACACGTCGGTTGCCATTCAAGTATCCTTTAGATCGGCTTTGTCGCTTTCAATTTGGGCCTCGTAACTTATAGTTAACGAGAATAATTTAAACATCAAAACCGACTGTCCTTGTAACCTTTTTTTATAGGTTATTCCGGTTTACAAGTTACATTACAAGTTAGCGATTTTAGTGTAAAAGGCGCTGTTATCTGCGAGTTAGTTTGCTCAATAAATGTCCCATTTTGAGCTACTTTGGAGTCCATTTTGCCGCCAATAGTCGTATCCAGCTTGATAGGCGTGCGTTCGTCGCAGCACGACTTCCCGCCGGAATGCGTGCCCGGAAGCATTGTGGGCAACTACATCATGTTCGAGAGCGCCACCCACGGCAACCTGCCCAACAACCGCAAGTTCTCTCCGTGCAGCGTGCGCAACGTCTCTCTGGTGCTCCACCAGCTCTTCTCTGGCGACGGTCCTCGTGCCAACTGCCTCCAGGGTCCGTATACTCAAGAACTGGGGACAATTAGGTCGGGGTCAGGTTAGAACACCAACGTCACCTTCCGAAGGGCAGCGCCAGAATTCGTTGAGATTTTAACGCCGTCCTACATGCATTGCCTTTTTAGAACGCTGCTCTTAGGCGCCCGTTCCCGGCTTGAGCGGCGTCGCCGTCGGCGTAACCGCGCGTTTCATTATGGGACGTTTTCCATAATGATGTCACGTGTGACGTCACGAGAATCACGAGTGACGTCACCGCACGTTGCAATTTAGCAGAAAAATTTCCCGCTAAATCTAGCGGAAAAAATTCCCCGCTAAATTTAGCGGGAAATTTAGCGAAAATTTTCTACTAAATGGGAGGGGAGGGGGAGAGGAGGAGGGGAGGGTACAAATGAGGAGGAGGGGCATACGCTGCTCTCCGTACCTTCTCCTCCTCCTCCTCAAGAGCTGTGCTCTAATTCTGCGCTACAGGGGATTGTAAACTTCTTTCATTTTTCTCTATCTCTTCGTTTTACGTAAGAAACCTTGCTTTAACAGGCACACCTATGTTTTTTCCATTAATTTAGCAAGGGCGCAAGATGTCTAAAGAGTGATTATAGTTGCACAGTGAGATAAGCGTCCTACCCTCTGAAGGGCGGCAGCGACCGGGCAATTCAAAGCTGATGCTGGACGAAAGCGGCAGATGGATTTGGCCGGCACTGGATCAAGACGAGCACGGCAAAGTACGCCGCAGCCATTTGTGGCAAGTGGGAACTGCAGGAGTGTTTGAAAACAACGAGCATTCCAAGGCTCACTTTGTTATACAGTCATGTATCGATGCGTCGCTTGAAACCACGAGGCTGCCGAAACCATGTAGAAGTATACAATTATGGACGCTGTTCGTTTGGGTGTGTTCCAAAATTTACTCGATTTTACTCCAGGGTAGGGGTTTTGTGCCTTGGCATTCAAAAACCTACCTGGGTCTAGCTTTTTTTATCTGTGTTGTCACGTGACACGACCCTCCGGCGTATCTCGGATCCATCTAATGGGGTAAGATTTGGAACACAGCCAATCTCTTTTCGAAGCATCGGCACCAGCACCTATATGTAGGGTTCGGAGTTTTCGGTTTAAACCGATAAACACCGATAAAAGTACGCCGAATGCATTTTCGGAAATTCGGTTTTAACCGAAAAAGGTCAGTTTGTAGGTTCGGCGTTTTCGGTTTAAACCGATAAAAACCGATAAAAGTACGTCTAATCCGTTTTCTAGAATTCGGTTTTAACCGAAAAAGTTCAGTTTTTTAGGGCCGCGCTGAAGTGGCTGGCGGAGGGAGAGAGAGAGAGAGACCTTTGCGAGGTTCGACATTGTGTGACGTCTTCGTGATTGCCGTCTTCCAAGGTTCAACATGCAACCAAAGAGGTCTTGGATTGGCCTTCGCGGGACATCTGTGTCTTTTCTGTGATCGGGCTTAGTGTGTCAAATTTCAGGTCCCGAAAAAAAAAAAGTTCGGATGTGGGCTAGTATCAGGTTTTTCGCTTCATGCACTTCAAAGGACATGGAGGAAAGCCGTCAATACCTTTCTTAACACGCTCTCTTAAACCTCCCCGTTCTTAAAAACATAAACACGATGGATTTTTTTTTTTTTTTTTTGACATTCCGCTGGTTTTTGTACGGTCATCACCTCAGACGGTCACGTCGTCAGAGTGGGAATGAAAAATAAGCGCACTGAAGATTATGCCCGTGAATTCCGGGATTTTGAGGTGTGTCCTGACGGAAGTTGTAGCGAGGACTACGTATGTATGTGTCGTTATTCTTTGAGTAATAGCAAATATCACAGCTACAAGGGCCGATGGTGCTTTTTTTATATTCACCGAAAGAAACCGGTAAACTGTTTTGGGAATAAATATACGCCGAAAAAAACCGAAAATTGAATTTTAAAATAAACACCGAAAAAAGTACGCCGAATTTCGAAAATATAAAAACCGAAAACGCGGAACCCTACCTATATGATGCCAGGAACGTGACTCCGACCGGTGTCTTTACCGCGTTCAAAAAAGTGGTCCCTTAATTTCTGCCTGATGACGTCATAAAAGTTTTATGCTGTTGCCGGCCGCGATCCTGGCGGTGTCACAGTAGCAGCGGTGGTGGATGTGGCAGACGCCTGTTCTGCGGGTCGCTCTTCAGCTGGGCAGTCCACGGAGGCTTCTGCAGCCACGAGTTGGGACGCCGCGGCGACAACGACACTCGTGTTCGCTGGTGCTTTTTACCGGCATGACACTCCGGCTGCTGTGACGTCATTTGTTTCCACTTCGGGTCCCCTTTGGATGAATGGAGAGGATGTTTTTAACACACCAGTCGGAGACGCGTTCCAGGCACCAGAGCACCACTACCACCTGGATGAAGCACTGTCCCTCAACCACCAGAGAAACATCAACGAATTTTGGCCGACGTCAACGAGACGCGATCATTAGACAGCGCCTAGAGAAGGATGACACACCACGTGCGCACTCGGCGCTCCGACATAAGGCACAGTGGTCTGCATATGGTGCTGTCAAGAAGAGTAAAGCATATGGTACTGTCAAAGTCGCGACCTTTGATAATCGGCAAAATTTCGAAATTCGCTGCCAATCCTTTCAGACAAAATGCCCCCCCCCCCCCCTTAAAAAAAAAAGAGTTGATTTCGTTTTTTTAATAAATTTATTTATTTACAAAATTTTTCGGGTACATTTATTTTCTTTAATTTTCACATACCGTCCTTTTTCCAACCTCAGCCTTTTCAGCTCGAAGGAACTGAAAAGGCACGCTTGCACGTATATATCTTTCCTGCGGCACCTTTAGTTAGCATTAGACAATCGGTAACAACAAGGCTCAATTCCATACGTGCTGCAGCACTACGTTTGTACAGTGAAGAGTGTTGTTTGCACTCAAAAATGAATGTTCGCGAGCCATGATCGCGAGTAGTTCCGCCACGCCCGATAAGCAGGAGAGACGGTAAACCCTCGCTGGAGCGCTTCCCGTTTCCGCCGCGAGAGGGCGAGAAACAAGCTGGAGACGCGCCTTCACAACAGCGATTTGACACGAGCAACTACCCGAATGCTCGCCGAGGCTGTCACGAACCCACACTGAGTGTGGATTTGTGTCAGCTCGTCAAACCCGACTGTGGTCCCGAGTCAACACCCCTGACCAAAGAGCGTCTTTGCTGCGGAGTATAATTTGTAGGATAAAAGTCGACTTTATTATTTCAGTTACTCCTTCGGAATACTTTATTAACAGTAACGAAGATAAATTGCCACGCGCGTCGCTGAGCGAGCGCGTACGTGGCCGAATGGTTGCCGTGCTCGGCTGTCGCGCGGAAGATCTGGGTTTGATTCCAGGCCGCGGAATGTCATTTTATTTATTCTTTCTACTTTGTGTTCTCGCAAATTCTAAAACTTTGTTGTCTGATCGAGTTATGAATGTTCTACATGCCGAACATTCTACGCCGAATGTTCCAGAGACCTATGCGGCTGCAAAGCGTGCTCCGCGTGCCAAGCCGGAGTCAGTCTCGCCCCAGCGTCCGATCCTGCTGTTACGCCGACTTCGACACCCGCGACGCTCTGTTGTTATCGTCTGTTCCCTTTTTGTTTTGGGTACAAGTTCGCCCCATTACGCGTTTCAGTTTCCTCATTTATTCTTTGTTTCATCACCTCTTAATTCGTCACCATAATGTATGGTCACCCTATGATGATGATGTAAAAATGCGGCTTATAGAATGTACATGAGCACTTCTTGAACACTCGGCGTGGGCCCGCGACAGACAATGCTTTCACGAGCATTCGGGTAGTTGCTCGCGTCAAATCGGTGCAGTGGCGGGAACAACCGAACCCTTACAATGTTCGGATCTCAGCACCTGCCATGTGCTTTGCCAACCCCAGTGCGGGACTATGAACATTGACGGCATATATTCGGCACCACATCACGTGACTGCTCGAGCGCTCGGCCTTTGTGCGAGTAGAGGAAGTGAACGCTGCACTTTTTTTTTTTCTAAATTTTTTCGGCGACTGTTCTCACGCGTAGGTGACAACTAACGCATGAATTGTGGGTTATGTACCCCTGCGGACATTATGAGCTCGAACACCAAATCCGGCCCTTTTCTGCGTCTGCGGTCCCTGAAATTTTGATTATCTCTAAATTTGTCAAGTAATTCTTAGTCTGGGACCTCACTTTTGCATTTCATTCTTAATTTGGATCACAGGTTTCTCAAAAACCTGGGAGGTACAGTCGCAGGCGATATAAAAAAAGCCCAGGCGAGCGTACGTGTGGCTCACATGTCCTGCCGCGCTATGTATGATGGTATCAGAAGAAACCTCAACCATGTATTGAGGCTACAGCGGATGTTCAATCTTTGTCGACAATTTCCGCATTTGCTGAGTTAACTTTAATTTTGTCGAATATAGAGGCGTTTTGCGACAAAATGCAAAATCAAGCGTGGCTGAATCTACCGGGTCAGCAGGTTGAGTTATCAGTTTTTGGGCGTTTAAAACAAGTTCGTGGAATAAATGACAACAAACGATTTTTTTATTTTACTTGACGGAGCATTATTTTTCCCCTGTCAGACGGGGCTAATTTAGTGCACCACTTCAACCAAGTGCACTTCGCCTTTAGTGTCATTTCTGTAGTGTGCCACATGGCTTCTTTCTGAGGAACACACTTGGCTTCGAGTGAGTTTGACGAACTCGCTTCACTCGATCGAGTGCGTGGCATCGATAGGAGTGTTTCAACAGTAAAACATAACCACACAGAAACAAAATACGTGGCGTAAGTTTCATTTTAAAATTAATTAGAAATTTGTGAAAATGAGAACATGTAAAAAAGTAGCATTGCAAAAAAAAAAAATGGGGTGGACTGTGAGTTTAGGTTGATCTGAACCAAAATTAGCGCCGCGGTGAATTGATAAAAGACGACGACAAAATCAGTCATTCCAAGGCTATCTTGGTTAGCAGGGAAAGATAGAGCCTACTTTTGTTTCAGCATGTAACCATTCGACACAACACCATAATTAGGATCTAATTAGGCAGTGGTAGGGCCTCCTCGTTGACTTCCGTGGGACGAAGCGGAACGCCAAAGTTGAATATGCTTCTTTCTTTATCTTGGCTTACGATGATCGATCAGAATCACCCAATTGGAGTAAAAATCGTTCATTAATTTAGGGTTGTTTTAGGGAGCAGCTCCTGGGCACTTGTTTCAAGGTTGGTTGGCGTCGGCGTAACCGCGCGTTGCATTATGGTATGTTTCCCAAAATGACGTCACATGTGACGTCACGCGTGACGTCATGAGGGTAGAGTTTTCCCGATAAATTTGGCGGTAAAATGTTTCGGCTAAATTTAGCGGGAAAATTTTACCCGTGTGACGTCACAATAAATTTCACGTTACGTGTGATATGACGTCACACGTCAATTCAGCGGGAAAATTTCCCCGCTAAATTTAGCAGGCAATTTAGCGAAAATTTTTTGCTAAGTGGAATGGGAGCAGGAAAGGGGGATGGGAGGGTACGAAAGAAAAGCAGCTAGGCATACCCTCCCCTTCGCACCCTTCCCTCCTCCTCCTCAAGTGCTGCGCTCCAATTCGGCATTACAGTGAATTGTAAACGTCTAATTTTTTTAACGTGTCTTTATTAAGGGGTATCGGTGGCCTAGTGGACTAGCGCACACCAAATCGAAGTACATGGAGAGAAAGTTCGCGCCGCGGAACCCAGTGATCCTGAGCTCAATCCCCAGCCCTGCCCGAAGAACACACGTCCGATGAAGTCAGTTCGGGGAGCACACTACGCTCGCTCCGGTAGACCGAGTGTGCAATCTTGATAGCAGTGTTCGAGGAGTAGAAATAATAGAAGAAACTAACGCTGCGTAGAATTAGTTTTATTTCGATAAGAGTAATATTAGATGCACACTTGTTTTCTGTTGGCAAGGAAGTAATGCATTATAGAAAAACAAGCGGCTAATCTAGTTTCCAGCTTTGGCCCCTTCACGACGGCCAGGAAGCACCTGCAAGACTGCACCGGCAATCTGAAGGTGGCAGGAGAGACGCGAAAGGCTTGCTTGAAATGGAACTCGCCCAAAGGAGGCAAGGTGTCTTCGAACCACCGTTCGTTCCTCTGGAAACTCCACCCGTTCTCGACTGCTCACGGGTCGGTCATGAAAGCAGCTATGGTGAAGGCATTGACCTGTAGCTGCTGATCGATGTCACTCGAAATGCTTGCCTGTGCGTCGGCATCCAGCTCCAGCTGCCTTTCATCTGAAAGACGTTGGGCTCTCACGGAGAGAAGTGCCACCACCACGGGCTTCCACTGTCCAAGATAGCGGCTTGTCCTCCACACACTCCATGATGTTTCGTTCTGGCAAGTTGCGAGTGGCCGAGCGGGCCCACGCACACGATTTCGGAGCAGGTGGAGCGAAAGCTCGCGCTGTAGAACCCAGGGATCCTGGGTTCAATCCCCACCCTGCCCGTTTCGATCTGGATGTGCATCGTACCGGCGTGCGGACGTGTATTACTGGCTTAAGTAATGGCTGATCATAATGGTCGAATTGGATTTAAATTTGGATTAAAGCTCCTGACTTAGCACAAAAATGTGTGCTAACGTGTTTTTGATAAGACGACGAAGTTATGTATGAAAATATGCGTATGGACTTTAATATTTTACGTGCCCATTACTTTACCCATCGTCATTGCCATCCTTTTGGAGTGACACTAAGTTTTCCAGTGTAGCACCAACACGCTTGTGTTTCGACGGGTTGAAGTGCACTCGCTTGTAGTGACACTAAACTGGCCCGTCTGACAGGGGTACTCGGTGTCGGCTCAGCAATCGATTGCCGGCCAAGCGGTGTTGTAGCGACAACAATCATATAGCCGCTGAAATGCCGCTCGTTCACACTATGGCCTCAATGATAACTCATCTTTCATCCGCTATATGGTACTGAAATTCTTCGGATCCACGCGTCACCTCATATTGTCCGCTATAGTTAGGGCTCCGTGTTTTCGGATAAATCCGAAAAACTCCGAAAAACACCCGCCGGTAAAATTTTCGTCAATTCGAATTTATCCGATAAACTCCGAATGTTTATGTTCCAATGCCACCCCCCCCCCCCCAAAAAAAAAAAAAAAAAAAAAAAATCCCCCCGCAAAAAGAAAAGTAAATAATTTTTTTTTTTACAATTTTGTTAGCACGGAGTCAATGGTACTGGGAAATGTCACCATAATTATCTTTCAAATATCAGGCCGTTGTCAAAAGGAGTCTTGCCGCTTGTCTCGTCGAGGTTGATTCAGGGCAACATTCGGGTCACGACAAAAGCCACTCTTTTGGTTTCCAGTTTGAGCCATGTGATTTGTGATTTAGAGAAAGGAGAAGGTATGTTTTTGTAAGAGTGAAAGCTATGGACCTTAGAGATTGTATTAAATAGAAAAAAGGGACAGTTGAAACTCTCTATTACATCCTTAATCACTCCACCTCGCGCTGCCGCGGGCTAGATTGATGGAATACGATGGGGTGACTACGAGCTTCGTAGCGACTGCCCCCGGGAGTTTATTGATTTTAAGGTATCGACGTTTATCGAAGCAACACTTGTGTGCAACTTTCTTCGTACGACAAATTAGTATTGCCAATGGCAATGGCACGAACGTCATATTCAACTGAAAATAGTTTAATCGATACAAGCGCGTTTTATTTTTTATCTGGCATACTTTTACATCCGGTTATTATTCTCATATTTATTTTCAATAGGAAACACTGCGAAATTAAACTCCGAATTTCGGAGAATTGGAAATCAAACAAATATAAACTCCGATAAACTCCGAATCTTCGGCAAAAAATAAACTCCGAAAAACACCCTCCGAATTTAACAAATAAATAAACTCCGAAAACACGGAGCCCTAGCTATAGTACACCGCGAAATAATATTATACAGTATTTTGCGAAAGCACGGAAATTGTTTCACGGCCCATTGAAGCGTGCGCGTCTCAACCCTCTGTTGCAGAACCTCGAGGACCCTACTGCGGCAACTTCATCCGCGAAGAAGGCGAGGAATGCGACTGCGGCTTCATGTCGGCGGCGTGCGAGAAAAGCTGCTGCTACGCTCGCGAGCACGGCGAGGACAGCCACAGAGCGTGCACCCTCAAGCCGGGTGCTTCCTGCAGGTGAGGAACGCGACGGCCCTCGGGGCCACTTCGCACCGTCAAGAGTACTCTTCATGGCAGGTAATAAGCCAAGTTGCCCACAGCTTGTGATGATGGCCACAAAGCACGACAGCATTATCTCGAATCACGGTTTCGTTTCACGACAGTGCATGCACGGCATGAAAGACTCAAAGCGTGGCGCTCTCTTTTTGGCTCAAGGCCGGTTTACGCAGTACAGTTTGCTTGCATTTTTTTATGTTACGTTGCTTACGCCGACAGTCACCGGGACACTTGTGCTTCGTATGAAGCGTGGCAAGTACTTCAAGGAGATAACCGTGCACGCAACATTCGAGGCACATATATTTCGGTGACTCATAAGTTATAACGTAACGTAGGCAAACGCTCCTTGGGGCGCGCTGTTTAGAGCGCATGCTCAGAACAAGCTCACATTAATAGGCTGCTATGATCGGCAATCTTAAAGGTGCGGAATGCTCGTGGCATGGGACATGCTGTGGAAGCTCGCCCTAAGCACACGGTCAGCAGTCGCGCACACAGCCATGGCCGCCAGTTCCGATGTTTACGAATCCACAGTACGGCGTTCGATCTCCACAGCCCAGCACGCGCATGTTTGTCGCTTTGGAAAACGAGCAAAGCACGCGCCATACCCACGAACTCTAAAGAGGGCGCCTGCCTTACACCGCTTTCGGTTTACTATTCCAGGAGGGGCTTTTGATTTCAGCGTTTGTGCGTGTTGCGCGCGCTTTGCTCGCTTTCCAAAAGGACGAATCTGCGCGTGCTAGGCTGTGGAGATCTCACGCTGGGGCTATGCATGCATGGATTTGTACGCGTTGTAATAGGATAGAGTAATCATCTCACCAATGTCTGCAAGCAAAGGCACGGGCACATGAAGCTATCCGAGCCGAATGCTCTTTTTTGTACCAGAACCCTATAGAAGGCACCTTCCAACGGCAGGTGTTTGTAACTTTGTAGACTTGCGGCGAAAGTGTTGCATTCCGAGCTGTTTTAACGGCCAGTCAAATATTTCCTTCTTTTTTTTTTTCTTTTTTTCGCTGCGCTTGAAGGCCGACGAGCAGCCAGTAGGGAGGAAACTGTCCCTCGATTCCTATTTCAATCGGAAAGAGGGATACTCTTCTCCTTTCTGCGAGCAGCAGCGTAAACACCCGCTCCCGTGGGGCGAGGACGAGAGAAGAGTGTGAGAGGGGATGGGGAGAAGGAAACTGGGATGACAAGGTGAATAAACAGGCGCGCTGTTTACCGTTACAGATGACTAACTCAAGGCGGGGGACGACAAAGTGGACATGTGCGTCTGTCCCTTGTCCCCTTTGTCGACTGTCGTCCTCGCATAGAATCATGGGAACCTGAGAACCGGCTTTCTTCCCGGCAGAAGACGATTGTTTCTTCTGCCGGTCTGAAAATTCCCTCTTTAAGTCAAAGGAGAGGGTCGATAAGCATATATACCAGGCGCTATATAAAACTGAGCAAATATAATCAGGAGGCGAATTAGATCAATGCATATTATTCCGTATGATCCTGCATGGGCTGTACACTGGAGACAAGTGCCTTCATTATAAAAATCGTCAATACTATAATGATATAAAATTACGCCAAAAAGTTATTTTGGTGTAATAGTTTTAGAAGTAACGTGGCCTTAGCAAACATTACGGCAAAATCGTACCAATATTTCTCTAATATGAAAAAAAGTGTTATTACCTAATCAATATTGTATACGTAATTTCAGCAATGATGTAAAATATCGTCCGCACGTACCCTTCATGCCGTCTTTTGAGTTTACTTTTTACCACTTGTTGGACCATCGTCTTAAACGAGTGAACACTAAAAAATACCTTTCGTCTATTTTCCCGCAGAGCACCCGGCGAGTCCATCGCTGCAATGCAAAACAAGAACTCGGCGAAAGACGATGCCGGAAAAAGTGAAAGCCGCTTACAACTCCCTGTAACGCCGAATTAGAGCGCAGCTCTTGAGGAGGAGGGAAGGGCACTGGGGAGGGGGGGGTCACGTGACCTTGGGGGTCACGTGACCCCCAATGCCGATGATGTCATCACTGACGTCACTGATGACGTCATCAGTGACGATGACGATGCGGGTACCGATGACGTCATTAGTGACGTCACTGATCACTTCACTAGTGATGATGACGATGACGATGCGAATCTCGGTGACGTCATCAGTGACGTCGCTGATGACGTCATCAGTGATGATGACAATGACGATGCGGATGTCGGTAACGTCATCAGTGATGATGACGATGACGATGCAGATGACGATGACGATGCGGATGCCGGTGACGTCATCAGTGATGATGACGATGACGATGTGGATGCCGGTGCCATCAGTGATGTCACTGATGACGTCATCATTGATGATGACGATGACGATGCGGATGTTGGTAACGTCATCAGTGATGATGACGATGACGATGCGGATGCCGGTGACGTCATCAGTGATGATGACGATGACGATGTAGATGCCGGTGACGTCATCAGTGATGATGACGATGACGATGTGGATGCCGGTGACGTTATCAGTGACGATGACGTCATCGGGGGGTCACGCGACATCGGCGGGGGTCACGTGACCTCGGGGGGTCACGTGACCTCAGGGGAGTCACGTGACCCCGGTGCATCATGGGAAATGTTCTATAATGCACCGCGCGGTTACCCCGACGGCGACGGCGACGGCGACGGCGACGCCGCTCAAGCCGGAAACGAGCCCCTAAGAGCTGGGCTCTAATAGGGACTAAAAATGATGTCTACGATGTACACCCATCGGCGAGCATGGCGTGGGAATGATACCTCGTGCCTGGTGTGACATTGTGTAGGCTTTCTTTGTATGCCTACGCATATTTCCGGCGTCATCACTCGCCGAGCTCCTCACGGGTGAATGGCAGCGATCGATTCAACGAGTGCTCTGCAGGAAAGTTAACGCACGGGCATTTTTTTCAGAGCGCGGCGAACAAGGTAAGCTCGCTTTGAAAGGTGCATTTTTTAACGGAGGTGCTGGTTTCGCCGAATCCAGTTCACACACCCGTAAGGTATAAACGATACAGTAACTGACAAGTAACTCAGTGCCTAGGAAGCGCAGGGAGTGGAAAGTATTAAGCAGTTTTAGGATCATCCCGCAGCCAATCAGATTGCAGCACTATAGCCTATAAGAGCGCAGAAAAACCAGTCACGGAGCAAAAAAAAAAAAACGTATATAAGCCCCGCCCACCTTTTTTTTTTTTTTTTGATTCTTTTGCTGTTAGTCATTGTATAGTTTTAGACTAATTTATGCACGGTTGTGCCCGCTCATTTCAGCCCTTCGAACGGAGCCTGCTGCAACAAAAACTGCACCGTTCGTAAAAGTACCTTCGTGTGCCGGGAAGACGACGACTGCTCTTTCGAGGCCACCTGCGAGTATCCTTTCATCCCGTTAAAGAAATCTATATATCAGTCACCCCCTTTTACCTTTAATAATACAACAGCAGCAATCAAAGTGGGTCACTTTTTTTTTGTTTTCTTCGTCTTCTAATACGTCTGAAAGTGTAATTAAAAATAGCGTGACCAGCTCTCCAGATTTGCGACAACCCCGTTAAGTTAGAAATATAGATATCTGTGTTTGGGGTTTATTTTTCTTAAATCATATTTGGGCTGTTTCTTTTTTTTTTTTTTTTTTGTCGGGACTTTGTCTTTGTACATTTGCGGTGTCTTTTTTTTTTTAATGCCGATGTTGGTTGTTTCACGAAACAAAGTCGGCGTTAATCGTGGTTTATTTGGAAGAAAGCGGAACACGGTCATGGGATTCCCTATCCTCGAGGGAACGTGTGCGTGACCCGAATACGCTTGCAAAACGTCCCTATAAAAGAAGGGAACGAGATAAGGGATTGGGGTTTCCGACAAAAGAAGCGGAAACAAGAGTCGCTAAATAAACTGACATAGCGAATATAGAAGACAGTTCAGTCGTTACAGTGCTCCGGATGAAAACAACATAAATCTCTAATTAAAGATACATTTGCTTTTGTGTGTGTATAACTTGGGCTCGTATTTTAAAACAGCTCCAATTCGGAACTTTTTGGTGTTCTAAGATTTCAACATAAGGCGGCTGGGGGGCTACTTTCCTGGGTCTACCGGTGTACACCAGAGAATAGTGAACTTCTCGTTGAGTCGAGCCTAGCCTTGACTCGAGTCAGCGGGCTGACTTCGGACTGTCCGCCCTCGGCGCCCAAGCCCAACGGCACGCTGTGCAACCACGGCACCCAGATATGCGAGGACGGCCACTGCAAGCGCTCCATCTGCGCCAAGTACAACCTGAACGAGTGCTTCCTCACCGGTTCCTACAGAACGCCCGACGAGATGTGCCTCATCGCCTGCAGCGAACCCGGTACCGGAATCATCCTCGTGCGCTTTCGAACGCTCCAGGTTTCGTTGGGTGCATAGTGATAACTACCCAAACCCCGCAAACAACATGTGTACGACGGCAATTCGCGGACGGAGCACTGAGGGCTTCCGTCATGAACTTCTCTTGTCGCTGTTTTTCTCGCGTGTGTGTACACCACACCCTTAGCGCCAAGGCAACATCGTCGCTTGTTCGCACCTTACTTGGCTGCGTATTGGTGAACAGCAAACTTTACCGCCCTGAATGAGCGCTTTCAACACCATCTTCGCTTCGATGGTGTTTTTATTGTTGTTTTTTAATAAGAAAAAGAACAATGACTATCATCTGTTCCTAGAAGTGTAGGGCCAATCAGTAGGTACTGATTGGTTGTGGTCAAGAAGCCTAAGCGTATTTGGGACTCTTCATTCGTTAATAAGAACTTTGATGATGTGAAATGAACGTTACGGAAGCTCGGTGTTAGCGTGCACAATTAATTCTTTCACACACTTAGTGCGATATGGACCGGCGTTCCAGATATTTACACAAATGGCTTCACCCTTTTAGCACCTCTCTTTCGAGAATTACATCCCCTATAGACCCGCTCATGTTTACAAACAAACCGGAGCGCCCCTAGCGCACGGCTCCGGCGCCGCGCATGCGCGATGGAGTGTGGGCAAGAAGCTCGCCGTTGCCCATATAAACAAACCATTGGAATGCGATGTTGTCGGCGTCGGAGCGAGTCCCCGTGCTCTTTCTAGAGTTGGAATTGTTGATTCTACGTCTTCCTGGCAATGTCTGACAGCGGCTTCAGCAAAAATTTCCGAGGCTCGTTACACCGCAAAACTTCTCGTGAATAAGGTAATATGCGGTGATTCATCCCGCATGGACGCCGCAGAATGGACACTAAAGCCTGATTCGCATGAGATTCCGCTCGCAATTTTCGGTCGCGACCTCGCTCGGGCTGCAAAAGCGTGGACCGTAACTGAGGTGGTCGATGTCGATACTGAAAATCACAAGCAGAATCGGACCAAGTGAATCAGGCATAACAAGTCGGTGATGGCCGCTGGTAACAATTATGATCAACATCTCCGTGTACCTACTGTTTACACCCAGCCTGCTTACCCCAACCAACCTTCAAACTTAAGCGTCTTTTAAAGCTTGCCCTTACTTCTTATCGCAATTACCGGGCCAACGTTTGGTCTACGGGGTGTCTCTTGAAACTGGCTTGAAAGAGCAAACGGCAGTTCGAACGATCAGGCGGCCGTTTGAACAATTGAAGACGCACTGAACGTAGTCCGCGGGTGGTCCGTTCAACTTGACGCTTTTCCCGCGTTCAAGTTGGAACAAAACAAATGAATCTGATGGCCAGAAGTATCCGCTAATTCAACCCAAATTGCTTCCCGCCCAAGCAATCGTGGTCCGACGGCGTCTTGTTCTCCCTTTTCACGGCACATATCCACGTTCTCGGACGAACCGAGCACGTGAAAACTGACCGTCAAACCCTGTCTCGACTCTTTTGGTACAGCCCTAGTCGCGGCGTTTTGTCGAGAAGGCAGGTTTTTGTCTGGCTTCTCTGTCTGACTTCTGCCCACAGCCCCAGACCGGACGCGCGCTCGACGTGCCACCAGCGCGTCCTGACGTAACAGAGTTGAGTTCGTGTATAATTCTGCAGTTACTTTCGGGACAATGTGATAGCACCTTTGACCTTCAGCGTGATGCATGTCAATTAGACTGAATTCGCTCTACTCAAATAGAGCACGAGGGAGGCCAGGGGAGGCTAGACCACATTCTAACGCTTTGAAATGCGCGTGGTTTTCGGTTGTGAGAAGGCTCAAAGCTAAAGCACTGTTTCTATTTTTTTTGCAGAGTCAATAAAAGTTATTAAAAAAAAGAAGAAAAAGGGAGGTAATAAGTTGCAATAGCGGCGTAAGCGAGAGAGGATGGCCTGTTAGAAATAGTGATACCAATTCCCGAAAACTTTAGGGATGCAGCTAAGGCAGCCAATTTTTAGGTGAATTCTGACATGATCCATAGATCATACCTCGGCAAACCTCACTCATGAGGGCCTTCACTCACCCTCATCTTCACAGGTGAGGTGAGGGTGAGTGAGTTTCTGAACCAGGAAAATTCATGAGTGTGAGGGTGAGTGAGGGCCGTGAGGGCTGTGAGGGCGGTGAGGGCTATGAGGGCCGTGAGGGCCGTGAGGGCGGTGAGGGCCATGAGTGCGTGAGGGCGGTGAGGGCCGTGAGGGCGGTGAGTGGCGTGAGGGCGGTGAGTGGCGTGAGGGCCGTGAGGGCGGTGAGGGCTACGAGTACGTGAGGGCCGTGAGGGCGGTGAGGGCCGTGAGGGCTGTGAGTGCGTGAGGCCCCCTTCAGATCGAGCATCTTTCTCAGCAATTTTGATGTTAATGGCGGGTTGTTCTCTAGCTTTCCCTAGATCGACACGAATTACTGAGATCGGGTCCGGCTCGAAATAAGCAAG